TTGCATTTGGGTTAGTTATTTACAAGCCAGCTGGTTTGCTACCTGTGGCACCTGGGCCATTCGAGGAGTTTAACGGAGACATGGTAGGGTTTCCCATTCTGTTCCTGGGTCATCAAGTGTAGAAAACTTCTTTTCTAGTAGCTATAATTCAGGAAACCCTCACCTGGGCTTTGACAGCCAGTTCTTCCTTCTCCACGGCATCTCACTGCAGCCCTTCCCAGGCACGCACTTCCTGGGGACAGGGCCCAGGCCCTGGGACTCAGTTTTAGTCCCTCGCCTGGCTCAGCCTGCTCTCAGGAACCCTCACCAGCCTGTCTTGCCATCCAGCTCCTGAACTGTGTGAACCTATTAACTGACTTTCCTTCCTTGTTCCTTCTCATTCTTATGAAATATTTACCTCTTTCCCTGATAGAAACCATCCAGAACTGGAAACCTATACTTCACATACTTTGCTACTATAAAATTACAGTGGCAGATCCTAAAAACTATGACCCAGTGGGATTAGGCCTGGACTAGGCTGCCCACTACCACTCATCACCGGCCACCTCCATCCAAGGCCAGGTCACATTTCTATCTTAAGCCAACAAAATCACCAGCCCTGAGCAGGCTCATGATAGTCCCACCAATCAGGGTGGCCCCCAGTCAACCCACCAGCTGATCACCCCCAGCTCTTACCATACCAGGTTCCTCAGGTCCCTGTGGCCAGGCCACCCAGCTGCCTTTTGGGTTAGTTAGCTCCTCAAACATCTGGCCACACTTATGGGGTCTTTGGAGTCCCACTGCTGATCTGCAGTGGAGTTTCAGCTCTGAACCCCACTCACCCACATCATTTGGGGTTTTCAGATTCTGGTGGCCAGTCACTACAGAAAAATAAGAATGGACAAAGAGAGACATGTCAGAGTTAAATACTGGTGATTTTTGCTTCCTGGTCCTAATTTACTTTGAAATTAAGGCGATTTCTACTCAAGGCTAAGGGTCCTTTCTCAGCTTATAGCAGTGGTTTCAACCGGGGGCGGGGGGGGGGCAATTTTACCCTCCAGAGGGCATTTGGCAAAGTCTAGAGACTTTTTTTGTTGCTATAACTAAGGGGATGCTACTGGCATCTAGTGGGTAGAGGCTAGGGATGCTGCTAAGCATCGTACAGTGCCCAGGATAGTCACCACAACAAAGTGCCCTGCCCCAAATGTCAACAGTGCAAAGGCTAAGAAAACTCCATCTAGGTTAGCTAAGCTGACCAATTCTTCCTCTTTCCTCTGATGTATGCCACTAGTCCCCTCCTAGCCCCATGCCGTCTCCTTTTCTCCTCTTCAGTACTGCAAGTGTTCAAGATTCTGTCACCAAATGCATCTCTCCCCTTGAGGGCATTATCTGATCACGTGGCTTCAAATCCTAATAAGGATGACCATCACTTTGAATGTGGGGTCTTTACCTTTCTTCTAAACTTCAGACCCATCCTCCTAAATAATAGGCTGTAAAAATCTCCACTGGGACTACCCATCCTTCATTCAACTCTGCCCTGTCTAAAACCCAATTTGCTTTGCCACCATGCCAACTCCTCCCCAGCCCTCCCTGACTTCCCTTCCCCACCCATGCCCCATGGTCCAGGTGCCAGACTTTGGTTCCACCACCTTTTGTGCCATTCTAGCACCTAAGTTGCTAGAAGGTCCTTTGGGATCCTGTGAGTCCCTTCCTTCAGACTTGCTGCTTCCTTCAGGAGCTGTGGATCTCCCTCCCCTAAAGGTCATGACCAGACACAGCCCCTGTATTCTCTACCTCCAGACCATCCTCCATATTGCCTCAACCTTTCTGAAAACAGCCTCAAATCCTCCCTTGCAGGACAAAAAAACCGTCAACACCTCCATTTCCTACCAAAATAGCCTCAAAACCGCTTGCCTGATATTCCACCGTGCCCTCAAGAGACCCCATCTAACCTTTCCTCCTCCTCCGAGGCCCGCAGGGCAGCCTCTCCCTCCCCCAGCCCTGCGCCATGTTTCCTACCACCGTTCCTTCACGGTCGCCAACACCTCCCCTCCCCCATCCCCTAATCATAGTCAAGTAAGCCAACTGTCTCCATGGAAGTCCATTTGAAATGCCATTATCTCCACGGAGACCCTTCAGGGTCGCCCCCGTTGAAGGTCTTTTATGTCTGCTGTTTACCCTTTAGAATGGATTGGTCATCCGCCCAGTCTTTATCCCCCCAAAGCATGTGCTCTCCTGCTATAAAAAACCAAGATCCCAGAAAGAATGTGAAGAGCGGGGTCCCGCAGGCCCTCGAGCGTGTGGAACAAAGGGTCCCGTACCCACTCCTTGATGAACAGTGCTCTGGAAGGGCGAGGCCTAGCGACAGCAACCGTCCCTTTGGGGCCCCACCCCCAACACCTACTAACCTTGCACTTCGGCAGAGCTCAGCATCCCTGAGCACCCAACTCCTTATCCCTCTGGGGTTGCTCTTCCGTACCGGGGCACTCAGCCCTCTCCTTCCTCGGGGTCCTGGCCCCCTACCTCCAGGCTCTGGAAACCGTCCTCGCCCCAGCCGCCGGACCCTGTGTTGGGTGTGTTTGCCCACCGCCATCTGTGAGACCAAGGGTTGGCCCCTGAAAGCCCCAACCTCCCCTCCCAGCCTCGTGAGTTTTGGAGTCAGGAAGAGTGACCCCACGATGCCAGGCGACCTCGTGGAGCCCGAGGCCTGGCCGCCATACGCCCGCCCACCAACTGCTTCCAAACACCCCAGCAGCACCACCTCTGAGGGCGTTCCAACGCGGCGCCCCCTGTTGGACCTCCCACTCATATCCGGTTTCCGGTCCGACGCCCCCTGCTCATTCGCCAGGCAGCCTTGATTGACGTGACCCCAGCCCAATGGCTGACCCAGCACTGGGGTCGGAGGGGAGCGAGTTGACTGTTGGGACCCAGTTGGCACCTTGAGTGGATGCTCAAGTGGTTGAACCATCGCGTGTGGGCGGAGTTGGCCAAAGTTTGGACCAAAGTTCAGTGTTGGCATTTGGAAGAGTGTAGACCCAAAGAGCTGAGATGACACACCTTGGGGGCACCCAAACATTACCCAGGGTAGGACTTTGGCAGCTTTCCTCCGCACAGCGCGGCGACGCCGGGTGGCAGGTGCGCGGGCAATGCCGCGCAGTGGCTGTGGTCTTCTCGTTCTAAAAGGGAAGCGTTAGATTTAATGAGATCGGATTGTGAGTGGTTCGCCAGCCCGCGGCGCGCGGTAAAGCGATCCAAGCGGTGCGCCTCGCTTGCCGCAGTCCGCCCTTTGTTACACACATCCCGCCATTCCATCCCTGTCCGCAGGCCAGGTGACCCACCTGTCCCCTGACCAGCTGCCTTGCACCTAAAGGTGGCTCACAAGCCTTCTCACCCGCTGGCAAGACAGACCTGATGCCCATGCCCCGGGTTTTACGTGATCCGCAAACAGCAAATTTTTTCCCGCGGCTCCCATCTGACCGTCGACCCCAGAGCCGGAGCAGTAGGCACCCGCGCGCGCAGCCCCCCAGGCCGGGTGGGCTCTGCTCTCTCCGGCTCTGAGCCCCCACGCGCCCCGGAAACGGGAGCGCAGCCGGTGGCGGCCGGGTTTATGACCAGGCTTAGTGCCGCCTCGGCAGGCTCCAGCAGTTGGAAAGTAGAGCGGCTACCTGGAGACACCCACAGCAAAAGGAGAGGGGCTGGGAAGGGGCTGGAGGGGGGCTGGAGAGGAGCCAGAGGAAGGAGCTGAGCGACCGACCCTGCGACCGACCCTGCGGCCGCTGCCGCGGTGGGAAGCAGCACACCGGGCAGCTGTTCGCCCGCACGGCGTGGCACGGCGTGTGCCTGTGGGTTCGGCGCGCACAGGGTCGACCAGTCTCTGAAACCACCCTGAATCGGCCATAAGTCCCAACTTAAATCCTCGCTAACCCTTCCCCAGAGCAGTAGGACCCGCGGAAGTCTGAGGCCTGCGCTCTGTGGGGTCCCTGTGCGCGTGCCGCCCCCCCCCCCC